GTACAAGTTCCTGTATTGATTCACAGAAACTGATCAGTGCTGAGAACTATTCGGTGTAAAATTGGTTACACTCCAGTTACTAATGTCTTCATTAAATCAGGTTCTGCAGTAGACCTGCCGTGATCTGGGTCAGCGTCAGTTTCATCGATTTTGCAGATATCCCTTGCTGAAGAGCGCCATCAAACAAGAAACCTTAATACAGATCTTCCTGCTGATTTTCTACAACCACTTAGTAGGAATAATTTTTCAGTTCACAGCAGTTGTTAAACGATTGGTTAATATTCTATATTCATGAGTTAGACATCAAGTGGTTGTCGCCTAAATAGTATCATATGATGTTTTTAAAACCGATCCATGGGGTCAGTGTAACTTACCTCAAGTACTTTACTTTTAGATGCCATTCTCAAAGTTCCAATGAGAAGTCGTGATCAGTAAGACAGACCAAAGCGGAAGTTACTCTACGACAGCACTGAACGGAAATCGCTCTATATCGTAAACTGACAGAAGTAGGAAATGTGGATCTTCATTTTCCAACCCAGGGGCTTACAACGGAACCCGAAGGTTCTGGGTTCGACTCCTGTACAGTCATGGGTGCTCACCACTGAGAAGTTACATACTAGGAAGGAATAACTGTCCAGTGTTCCCAAGCTTCAGATGGTTCTCTAAACGATGATAGTCCATAGTGAATGCCAACCTGAAATCAAGTATTCTTCCCCCGTGAACAAGTTTATATCCCACATTATTCTCCATTACTGTAACTCTTGACCAGTTCTGAATATCACTTAGTACATTATGAATTATTAATCATGTAGAAACAGGCCTGTCACCAATTTGTCACTCTATGTTAATCAATATAGTTGTCAAATTTCATGTATTAATGACAGTGTGTCGACCTAGAGTGTACTATGACCGCAGAATACTCTGGTGTACCTTTAGATATTAGTGCTTAATCCATAGAAAGCGTATTTGAGGTAAGTTTCGTGCAGCTCACCACCTTAAAGAATTTCATGTTGCCTCAAGTATTTAAAGCAATTTCACCAATAACCAGAATACAGAGTCTCTACCAAGAAGCTAATCATTAGATTATGTTTCAATGGTTATCTTAGATCTTAAAATCTTGCTATTGCCAGTAAGATAGCGACCCAATGATTTTTTTTAGCAAGTGAATCCACTCTTTCAATATCGTCAGTTCACTAGCTTTAATGAAGTTATTACAGATTCAGTCCTAAACTATATCACACTATCTCCAATAGGTTCTTGATAATTATAGGCTGTAAATATGGTAACCCATATATTATGTGCAGAGTAGAAACAGTAGAAAGTTAATGAAGTTTGTGAGATATGGGTCAGGATGCTTTGCATGTTTGTGCCCATAAGATGCGTGAACTACTAGTTGGAGATTACGTAATCACATTCTATCGACAACCCTTGTTAATTTAGATTTTGATTCATAATATGGTTTAGATTTGTCGATTGACGTGAATGTGAAGACACATTTAACAGAATCGTTAAGTGTATGTATTATATGGGAATTATTCCTTAGGGTATGCTTATATAATTGATGAGATCCAGAAGTGAGTGAGGCCACAGGTTATGTTAATTGCATAAAATCATTTTCAATTGGTAATCTCAAAAATAATATATGATTAGCTATTGCTAACTACTGTTGAAAAACTGTTTTTGTGAATTTCCCAAACATGAAACCTTAGTGGTAATTGAATTCGGGGGTTTGTGGGGACTTAGTGATTTTTCAAGTTAGTATTCATCATGGACTGACATCATTTAGGGGAACGGAAGTTGTAAATATGGACTTTTGGATTCCGACTGAGTGGCTCAATGGTAACGTGCTGGTCACGGAACATAAAGGCCCTGAGTTCAATCCCTATTGGGGCGAAGTCTTAGGTGCTCACTGCTGGTGTGTCCCACACCAGGACGAAACAGGTGCCCAGTGCTCCCAGGTTTTCAATGTTCCTCCAATTTGTATCAGTCCATGATGAATACCAATTAGTGATAATTCTAACTGGCACTCTATTCAACACTGGAGGTTAGACATCAATTCATACTTTAAAAGGTAGTTTGGAGGTAGGTTGGAGTAAGTGACTGAATTCTGTTCATATCAACCGGTAGTATCACTGAATGATAAATATTTTCCCCAATATTTCTGAATACCTCAATCGCGATTGTGCTAGATGCCGAAAGGAGGAATTCTTAGTCTTGCTGAAGAGCATTACGTAAAAAATCAACGTCTAATTTCCATGCCCTACTTGCTGTTTCATCGTCCATCTTAGATACTTTCATCTGTTAGGCATTTTATTCAAAGTTTAAAAAACAATAAGTAGCACCAAAAAGATTTATACCAAGTACATACCGAACTTCATACAACAATTAGCCCTGAAATTTCAAGGTTAGCAACTAGCATGGCACCCACCAGCTTATCATTTTAAAAAGTTTAATATGCCAAATTTTATCACCTTACTTGCAAGTGTCTACACTAAAGTTGGATAATAATCCTTTTTGTTATCTACAATAAGTGAATCGGAAACGAAACCAAGCCTTGAGGATTGACCAAACCACAGATCAACGCTTCAATAAGTTGACTACAAAGTTTAGCTACATACAGGCCTCAATTTTACTTACACCACTGATTCTATCAGTTTGAATTTTGCTGTTCCTTAAGTTTTTAATTCATCTTTTATCTCTATATTACATAAATTCTATGAAATAACGAAACATACTACTGAACTACTCTCGGGTAGTTAAAACCCACTAAGTCTGATCTGTAGATTCGCTGATCAGATCAGAGTGATGTTAACACCAGACAATGGTTTCACTTGTTTGAGGAAAAGCTCATCAAAGATATATTTGAACAAATTCAACTCAGAAATATTAACATAGACCGTGGAATTTTTGAATTATTTGCAAACTGTTAAAGAGTTCCATATTGGGACGAAACAGCTGTCCAGTAGTCTAAGGATTTCATTGGTTCTCTAACTGATCTATCTATCTGTCTATCAAAGACGTTTGGATGATATGTTATAGTGTTTAGTTTTGCTCTAAATAATTGAAGGTGATGATAAAGAGTTGATATGATGTAATAAAATGAACTTTCAGAGAATGATTTCCCAGAAGATACTAATTACACACAAAACTTTTGCTTCATTTACAAATAAAATTTCAAGGGGTCTATGATCTTTTTTAAAGTCACTATGCTGTAAAATGATATATTTCGACTAGTAAATATCTAAATTACAATGTTTAACCGTGTAACAGTAAAGTACAGAGCTTATCACTTACCGTCTTAGCCAGTCAGTAAGATAATAAATTTCACTATGGCATACAAGAGATAGTTAGGATTTTTCACCGTAACAGTAAATAGAAGTGACTTAAATAAAATAATATTGTGAAGTTTCTTCTGTTGTTTTTCTGTCGCTAAACAGCTAATTTTATTTTCAAACAGTCGGCGTATACCCTCCTAGTGTTTATATCAGGTCAAATTGATTGTAACTCCCATCTATGGTCCTGTCTATGAGGTCATAATATTCTCACAACGCCTTGTGGTGTGAATCAGGCTACATTAAACTTGATGTAGACTCGATTCAGCATTATGATTCATTTAGAATCTTATACATTAATCCAGTTCAATTAGTAACTTTGGTTGTTTTCTTCACAGTAACTGCTAACAGTGAGGTGATAAATAGGAAATTTCTACCTTAAGAAAACCAATGATCACATTTGCTTACCTGTTAGATCTGTATTAATTTCTTTTATCCAAAGCATCCTATGGCGACTTTGGTTACTTCAGACACCAGTTTGAGAGATTTTGGATCTAATCATATAGTACAGTTCATCCTAGTGATGTCTTATCTTCAGCATATAGCCTTAATTATTTATTCAGTCAATCTTTTTAGGGGCCAGAATTTCACCTAAACTAGAATATTGATCATTGTTCTGTATCACAATCTGACTGGATGATCATAACGGTCGCCTTCTTTACCACACTTGAATATCAGCCTGAAAACTTAGTATCTGTTTCATACTCTTGAAATAAAGTTCTTCCTAACAAGATGCAGACATTGAGGAGTAATATAAAATATTTGCTTATTTTACTACTTGTTTTAATATACTAAGCCGGGATTATACAGGTAGAATACACATTATACAATTAATTTCATGTGCTCTTTGAAGTATGATTTAAAGATGACCAAATATCCCCAAAAATAACTTTCTGGCGATGAATACGGGAGTAACTTAAAAGTCCACCCTAGCAACTGCTGAGATAACCAGTTACGACTCTCTATATCCTGAAAAACTCTCTTCCCAGTTGAAATTGCGAATTCTGATTGGTTGGTTAGGCAGTTGCTAGAGTGGCCTTGAAAGCTGATGATGACAATAATTGGTCATAGAAAGCATATGGCATATAGATAGTTCATACCTGGTGAGTTATAAAAATAATAGCCATCGAAGAAATCCCTTGTACTGAAATCATTCAAAACCTTCTAAAGTTTTGATAGATAGGTAATAATCAAGAATGATGACTAAATCTGACAGAAAAACTTGGTCACTAAAAGGTTAAAAGTAGCGGTTTTCGATTTACCGCCCAACCCTTCACTGATTCCATTCCAACATACAAATGCTAAACAATCCTGAACCTTCGAGTATTGAATAAGTTACCAAGTACTACTCTTGGCAATTTATTATTTATGGCAGCAGTAATTGAATTGTATTTGAAGGAATTGCTGTATCATATCTAGGAAATAAGCGTATTGGCGAATCAGCAACCACTTACAGGTTTATTTGCATGGCACTGAGTTGGAAGTAGTGTAAAAGAGGCAGTGATTGATATTAGTAGAAAATTTGGGAGCACTGGACTGCCGTTTCGTCTTAGAGGTACGCTGACTGATGTCAGTCCATGATGATTACTACCCTGAAAAGCCTTTACCTCAGTCAATAAACCACCACTAATATACATACATGTAAATACAATAATTATTGTTAAATACCTGAGGATAGATTTAAATCACCAGCTGCTGAGGCTGCAGCAGCCATTAGTAAATTATTCGATTGTCCAAATAAGCTGTAAGCATTTGACTGACGACTTAATTGATCATCTATATTATTGTGTTTAATGCTTGAATTATTTGCTAAATTTGGGTTTATATTATTATTGTGCGATACAGCGGCAGCTACAGCAGCAGCTGCCATAAGTGCTGACATTCGACTATTACCACTACTACTACTATTATTGTTAGTAGTATTGTCAATATTATGTTCATAAAGATTATGAGAAATTCTATCCGACTGTTTTGAATTGACTGCTGCTAAATTCATTTCATGCAAAAATGTCGTTGAGTCATAAGAAGTTATAAGATTACTAGGTGATGAATATTTATAAGGTAATTGTGTACCCGAAGTTTTTGATGAACGTGATTCTGAAGACGATAATAATGAAGCATAATAATCTTGATTCATATTATTAGATGGACGATGATTAAGTGTATTTATGAAGAGATTTGTACATTCAGGAATGAAATGAGTTGCCTGAGAATGTTGTTGTTCGTGTTCCTGATGATGATGCTGATGAAGTGGAAAAGACTGATGATGATGGTGAGGAGGAGGAGGAGGACGAGGAGGAGGAGGAGGATGACGAGGATGTACACTGTGGTGATGATAATCACCATCAACATTGTGATCATAAGGATTTATAGGCAGCTGATTAAAATATAAATGATTTGGTAACGTTACATCACTTAACAAACCTCTTGAATTATCTATGCTACTAGTAACATTGTTATTAACTTTATCTAAACTAGTTAAATAGGTGCTTGAAAGGTTTGTGGATGAGATTTGATTAGTTTCATGAGGATTATTGAATATTTGTCGACAATTGTTGGAATAAACTGAATCTGATGAATTTATATAAGATTCATTATTGTATTTGTCAAAGATATTGTGACCAAGAACGCTACTACTAATACTACTGTTTACAATTGTATTCATGGTAGTATCAGTTGAAGTTGTAGAATAATTTAACCTATTCATATGTAATAAATCATTAGCCTCAGAATTATTCATATCATTTGGCAAATAGTATTGATTCTGATTTGTAGGTTCATTATAATCAGGTATTATAAAGGGTGGAATTTCTATTTCATTGTAATAATTTTGATGATAAAAAAGATTATGCCCATTACAATATGGTATAATATCGAAGTTATGCAATGGACTAGGTGATAGTGGAAAATGTTCATGATAATAATTTGTATTATCATTATTCAATGTAGTCAATGAAGTTTGTTCATTTTGTTTAGTTATAACCATTAATTGTTGATCATTGCCTTGATGATATTCATTTAAAGTATTCATTAAATGATTTTGTGTAGATTTTAACATATCTTCATAAGTTGTATGACGACGAGGATTAACTGGATTGTTTACTTCCCAATCTGAGTTATAATCTTTGTGTTTTAATGTATTATTAATTGGATCTACTGTTGGATAGAAATTAGCAGTCAATGATAAAGCAATCTGATAGGTTGGTTTATGATTTATATTCTGAATATTTTTAGTTGTATGATATTTTTGTTGGTCTTCTGGTTTCAAGTTGTTGAATTTATCATTGTTATCTGTATGACCTTGGCTATTGGGATTCTTCATCTCTTCTGTTGAGCACTAATGACTTCAGTAGAACTATCGACTATAGGCACTGGTAGACTTAAGTAACTAGAAGACAATGTTGCTTCCTTTTGACTTGAATAATCACAGTTTGAACTTGACCATGATGTTTGAGAATTCTGATGAGTTGGCATTATTTCTTGCTTTAAATTATACAAAGAATTGCTTAACTGTTGTCTCAGTAGATTGGTAGCTACTGTTTCAACAGTGGTTGCTGATACCATTGTTGTCACTGCTGATGTCAACGATTTTGATGATGGGTTCATTTCATATTCTTGCTTCACTGGGTTTATCTTAATGTTATTGTTTTCGTCTGTGAATTCATTGTTTAACGAACCATGTAAACTGGATCTATGATAATTATGAGGGTGTACTCCGCAAGTGTGAAGAGGTTTATGTAAGTCAAACATTCTTGTTCGATTCATTGTAGACAGAGGTCGATTTACATCGTCAGTTGTTGCTGTAACCAGATTTGGCAAACACGAGGTGGTAACTGTTGGCGTGATTGGTTTGTTAACTGAGGATAGATCAGATTCCTTTGAGTTTCTCCAATACAGACTGTTGGAAGGGTGGCTGCGTACTACACGATGAGTAGGTGATTCATAGTCATCTGATGATTTTATCCTCACTGACTGTTTTAAGGAATGATAAAAAACGAAAATCACAATAAGAACACGTTTATTATTTTGACTATCTGAGATAGCTATGGTTTGGCGGACTAGTATTGATACTTAATGATGATTGAAAGTGAAATAAAAACTTGGCATGTAGGAGGATTCGAATCAGTGACTACCGGGTTTTACGGTCCGATGCTCTACCAACTGAACTACAAGACTCGGCTGATGACCAGATTTTTATTTCACTTCAGTCACCAAGGATTTTACCCGACTGTTATATTTAAAAATGAGAAAAGAAAGACATCTTTGTGTAAAGACTATATTGTATGGGTTCGTTATCATTTATTGATACTTGTAATCTCCTGTCGCAATACTAGGTCGAGCTAATCGACCTCTGTTGGTCGATGGGCTCCTAAGCAGATGTCTCGATGCTGCCTGACTACTCATGATGTCATTGTCTGCAGTGGAATCCAAAGTGTGCATTTTATCTCATCTGGGGGCTCATGAGTTGGAAATACCAGCACATCAGTGAGTGATGATGTTCCCAATGGGGTTCGAACCCAGTGCCCATCACTTCAAATGCCAAAGCATAATGGACAACGCGTTGACAGAGTGTTGCTTTGTGTATTTGCTGGATGACGTTCAGATTCACAAAGATGAAGCGTTATGCAGTTAACTAGTACTGTTTCATTGACTGAAATGTCCAAAAAAACAAATTAGGCTGGAATTATACAGTAACATAACGCCCAGGTTCGACTCTGATATTAAGAAACATGACAACGTAATTCTTTTGTGAATGGAAATGCAACTTACTTGATGTTCATGTTGACGATAACTTTTCAAATGGTGACAATCCACATCGTGACCAAGTGGTGAATTGACAATATCTGAATAGTTACTAGGATGTAATGGAGTAGAACTATATGACGTGAGTAAATCATTACAATCATACTGATGGTTACTATTACTATTATCTTTAACCATATATGAATGTTTTACATCATCTGATAACTCTAATGAATCACAATTATTGCCCGTAACTATAGCAAGACTTGTAATAACTGACGTGGTAGGAATGCTGTGTTGGGTGATTTCAAAGGAGGTTGATGAATATGACATTGGAATTTGAATAGAAGGTAGTTCATCAGTTGAATTTGATGCAGTAGCTGTCCGTGATGATGATGCTGATGATGATGTTGACGAAGAAGACGATAAATTGGATTCAGAATAAAAGGTTGAATTCTTAACATTCAGTTGATCGAATGTATTGCCACCTGAATTTGCTGGTGTTTCAAAAGAGTTTGTTAGAATTGATGGTATACTAGCTACATTATTGGTAGAATTATGACTTGGTTCTGAATAAAATATACTGTTCGTTGTCAGAAGTGGATAGTTTTGTGTATAGAAGTGGTGTGGAACAGATGGACTGGTTGTAGTATACGGGGAGGAATTAGGGCTGGGGGACAATTCACCTTTACTCATATATAGTGAATTAATCAAATGATGCTGAGTGTTTCCAGCGAACATTGAAACTGGATTGTCCATTTTTAACAGGTAGTAGGAATGTCTAAAAGTTACAAAAGACAAAGTGAATATTGGCTGAGTTTATGGTTTAATCTTATGGTGAAATATACTGTACAGGTTTTCAATTTCAATCCTCTCTCTGTGTCTGTCTCTAAAGGTGATATTAATAGCCAGAACTTCCTACCGAAATTAGTGGTTGTAGCTCCATCGGTGAGCATCTGCAAGGAATAACAGGCCATTAGCCTATACCGAAGAAATTATGAGGCGAATGACACTGAAATTTAATTAGCTAATGAGTCTTGCGGCTCAGTTATTATAATATTGGATCATTATTCTTGGAGTGAATGTTTCTAGTCCTTCTTCAGCACAAATCACCCGATCAACGTCAGTCAGTATTCCGTAATATTTGACATAAAAGTTGATGACGAAGTAAATATGGTGTTTTACAAGGTAGTACGTTCTTTCTGTCTATAGATTTGTAGGAAACAACACGTGTGGAGCTGTACCAAAATTAAAGGAGAATCGATTTGATTAGGACATGAATCGATCAGTCAGGAGGATTAGGTGAGAAGGTCAATAACGTCAGCTCAAGTTGCTACACTTCATAGTAATATACAAAAAACAGATAGATAGGAAAAGAATAAAATCCAAGTAGATAAAGTTGTGTGAGATAACAAACAATCTGAAGATAAAGATTTGTGTGAATATTCAAGCATCAGAAGGTGTCGAGCAGTGAAATACACCTGCACTATTGTGACCGATTTTCAGCCATGTCACAGACAGTTCTCAGCCACTGATTCCTTTCACCTCAGAAACTTCAGCCAGATAGTATACATCTTCACATACGGCTCAGGTCATTAGTCACAGAATTCATTGACTGATACCACGTCTTGGTCTGGCCACCCTGAACTCTCTTCCAAGCTAATCCAACTTCACCTACCACTTCATGTCGAGGTAGGTGATGGCTTGGACACTCTCTGTGCATGTCGAGACAGTCCAGTCGATGAAGGTTCAAAATCTCACCAATCGACCTCCCTTTCTTGCTCATTACACTTCGCCCGACCTCGATATTACTCATACGGTGATTCCACCAAAAGTGAGCAATACTACGAAAACACTTATGATCAAAACCCTGTAATAGCTTCATGTTTCCTACCGTCAACGGCCATTTCTCACAGCCGTTATCGGCAGTATTTCCAAAATGAATGATCTGTTGACAAAGGACAATGTAATATCTTGTGAATATAAGAACTACTGTAAGCTTAAATTTATATTTTGGCGTAAATACATTTCTTTAAGTTAGTTGTTAGGAAACAGTTGCCAGGACCATATGGATCTTGTTTTTCAGCTTGTTGACACTTTTATCATGGCGCATCTCCAGCGATGAGTCGCTAGGTTAAGTGACTGCACGGCGAAAATGATTGACAGAGTTCAGTCAGCACTAACAACAGCACTACGATAAATACATACAAAAATAATTGGGTAATTCAAAGACTGAATAAAATTTGAAACACACATATATTATTGACTGTAAGATCTGTTTAGTACTAAGATTACTCGGTTAGACAATGAAAAGTACTGATGACTGGATTTTCGACTTCTTTCAGTGCACTGGTTATAATGAGTACAGCAGTTACCTGCAGGTGACCAGTTGGTGTACAAAATTCCTTCAGTTAATCTCCGTTTACCTTAAAAGTAATTGTGAGTTGTTCAAACGATAATTTCTGAAAAAAATTCAATTCGATAAAAGTTGTTCGTGCCCCATTAGCCTAGTGGAGCTCGCTTTGGCGTTTTGTAGTGATGGATACTAGGCTCAAGTCTCAATGGAAATAACATCTCTCACTGAAGTCCTGGCACATCCAGCTGTGGGTGCCAAACAGAACGAAACACACGTCCTGGATTCCACTACTTGTCACTAACATGAATACAACATCACGAATACAGAGCATTATTGAAGCGTCTATATAGGAGCCCATCTACCAACAGTTGTCGAGTCATTCAACCCAGTATAGTAAAGGGAGATTTCAAGTATCAAATAACAAAAGTTATCCAGAACCTAATTGATTTCATAATTACAACTAAAATGAAACGATTAATTTTAATTCATAATTTTATGATTGTTTCAAGAGGCTTTTTTTAAATGCTCCTTCGATTGTAGGATAAGATCTCTTCACAATTACCATTATTATTTTTATCTTTTCATCCAGGTGACCCCTGTAAATTTGTTTAGTTTGAAAAGTTATTTCGCTCTTCCTTTCAAAGCGTGTGAATTTTATCCCAAAGGAGATTATTATTATTATTATTATTATTATTATTATTATTATTATTATTATTATTATCATTATAGCCATTGCTGTTGTTAAACGCAGTGTAGACATAAGAATAAGAACTCACATATATTCATCTTGTCTAATTCCTTTCCTAATATAGTGTGGAAACTATTCGTTGAACTGGGCTAATTATAAACTAAATTTTTTATCAGTATAGGTAGAAATAGGTGATTCGAATGAAAGCGATGGAGGAATTTCCTTTCTTCTAGTGTAATAATGTTTTCCAGCAAGGTGTATTATTGAAAATGATAAACGATCACTTTTAAAGGTAAGTAAACCGATATTATTATCCAATAGTATGGACATTAGCTAGGGAATTTGATTGCTACATAACAGAATTACACATTGAGATTCATCACAGACTGACACAAGTTGGAGAATCAATGAAGAACTAGAAGCACTGGACAACTGTTTCACCCTAATACGGGACTCCTCAGCAGTGTGCGCCATTGATCCGGCCTTCTATGGATCGAACTCAAGACCTTCGGCTACCTATTGGGTCTAATTGAGGTCGCTCTATACCTTGAACTGACAGAAGTAGGAAATATGAACCACTGAATTCCGACTCAGTAGCTCAATGGTCAAATACTGCTGAACATGAAGGCCCTGGGCTCCATCACTGGGAGGTCATGGATGCACACTACGGAGAAGTTCTTTACTAAAACGGAACAGCTGTCCAGTGCTTTCAGGTTTCCATTGGTTCTCCAAATGATGCCAGTCCTCACGAACCTTAGAATTTGAGCTGCTGAATTATGCATTTGCCAAATTAAAATGTGCCGAAGATTGGGCAGTGAACAAGACAATGAATTATAATTTTCAAGAACAGTATGGTTGTTAAACAACCAATGGATTCTTATAAAAGAATATAAGACTGTTATTCGATTCCTTTTGCCAATATAATATCACCTTTTACTGAGCCATCACACTGTGAAACTTGGTCCACAGTCACTTAGGACTAAATAGGTGTCTAGGTTACTCACTGGGGAAGAACTTTTGTGCATAATCCAGTTCTATACGTAATCATGCATGGCTTAACTAACTTCGTGGTTTGAGTAACGCAGGATGTAATCATCCAAGGAAAACCAATTTCCTCATGTCTACAGATATGCCAAGCTGATGAGTAACAATGAATCCGAAACCAAGGTGGGAGGTTTCTTAACAACTGACTTCCACAACCTGATGTAGATAGAAATCAAACTGACTGGAGTAAACAACATAGCTCTTGTTTCTCATATTGGTATCTATGTTTAGCGCTATGATGACTGGTGTTCAAATAAAAGCCAGTAAGTTCTAAGTAGTGTCTACACTGTCAACAGATTTTATCCATTACCATTCACACATTCAATAGACATCTTGGAAATTTAATGTGGAAATTATTGAAATCAATTCAAAGTTAGTTGATTGAGCCAGGTTAATTACATCATTGAATAAGAGAAGGGACTGTATCGACATTTCTCACTAATCATTGATAACTAACTTCTGAGGAAATCGATGATCATATTAACTAAAGTGTGAGAGTAATCATTAGGCCAACTATAGGATATACACTGAAAGTTAAATGTTAGTTTTCTAGGAAGCAGACTCATTCACGTAAACATGAAAATTCCAATCAATAGTCATGGGTTCGAATCCCATTTCACCCACTAAAGTTTAAGTCCATGGGTACTATCATCACCACTTACAGATAACAGCCTTGTACACATATCTGTCACCTTTATTTGTGGAAACCACTGATGGAATCTAATTTATCAGCGAAAATTCCAATTCCCATGCAAAACTTTGGTATATATGATAAAATCTATCAACTTTCAAGTTCACATTATGAACACCTACTTGAATTCAATAAAATAAATCCCTACAGACCTCCAAATTGAATTACTGTTCACCTTTCATTAGTGACTTACTTCTACATGAGATTTCCCAAAGTTCTAATGAGAAGTTGTAACTGTGAGGCCAATCAAGTCGGATGTAAGGACAGTTACTCAACGACGGCGTTGTATGAAAGTCACGCTACATCATGAAATGGCAGAGTTAGGATCCTGACTCAGTGGCTTGATGGTAACGTGCTGGCTGCAGAACGCGAAAGTTCTGGGTCCGATCCCGGAGGGTGGGGTCATCAGTAGACTCTGCTTAGGAGTCTCAAACTGGGAAGCAATGGCTGTCTAGCGCTCTTAGGTTCCTAGAGGTCCTCCAACTGATGTCAGTCCATAATGAATGCTTAACAGAAATCAATACACACTAACCATTGGTTCAGTCAACTGATTTCTGTATTCAACCGATTTTACGTGAAGAGGACTAATTACCACCTGATACTTATTTCAGTATTTTGATCACTGAAATGATTATTCCAGTCAGTAACACGTATTTGAACAAAATGCTCACTTATGATAATTTTGTTTGATTGCTGTCCGCAGCAGAATCCAGGACGCGCGTTTCGTCCTACTTGGGATTCGTCAGCTGGATGTGCCTGCACACCAGTGCCGAGTAATGTTGTTCCCACTGAGACTCAAACCTCGTACCCATCACTTCAAACACCATGGCGTTATCCATTGTGCCATGGAGGCACAATAGCCACTTCTTGTACAACGGGTATTGGTTATGATTATTTATTGATATACTTGTAATTCTCCGTTGTTTTATTGGATTGAATTGTTCAACCTCTATTGGCATATGGTCTCCTATGCGGATGCC